TATGACCAATCTGTCACGGCCGCCGTCACCTCCACCGACATCGGCAGGGTCATGACCGGCTATGCCGCACCCACCATGGTCGGCGCCACGAGCATGATCGGCAGCCCCATCTGTCCCGCCGTCGGCAGCGGTATCGTGGCCGTCACCGACTGCTCCACGACCTCCGAAGGCGCCCCTTGAGCGAACGCGGTCACACTGGCACCGCTCCCGCACGAAACGGGCACGACACCAGCCAATGGCTGCCACCTCAATTGGAGGGCGATGCTCTTCTTCGGTGCCAGCGCTAAAGGATTATGCTGCCTACCGATGCTGCAAGGGATGGAAAGCATAAGTCATGATGAAATCCGACCAAAACAAAAAAAAATAGAGGGACCGATAGCTCACCTCAGCGCCGTCGGGCGTCAGATGCGTCTGGGGGTCAAACCCGCCTGACCCTTGCTCTGTCTCATCGGAACGAGGCCGTTTCGAGCCCACCCCCTGCTCTTGGGCAGAGGGGCCCACTCCCCTTGGCTCTTGAGGCACGACGGCAAAGCCACCTGCCTCTGCTGGAATCTTGGGCACGATAGTTGAGCCACCTACCTCTGTTGGCTCCTGTGGCAGGCCGACGGCATGTCCTGCCTCTACCGACTCCCTAGACATACCCTCCCCTCCATGGAATGGTAAGGGTCCCAACGCCTACAAGGACAAACCGATACCTATCAGCGCATCCTCATTATCCAGGTTGTCCCACTCGATATAGTCGGCTACCTCGTTGTCATCACCATTGTCATCATCGTCATCGTTGTTAGTGTCCTCCCCCCGTTCCTGCGCCTGTAGCTTTTGCTGCTTCTTCCTCTTCCTGTCCTCCTTCACCTTCCTCAACCGCTCATCCTTGGCATGATTTGCCGTACTCACGGCTGAATCCCTTAGCAGTGGCGCTGGGTGATCCATGAGAATGAGGTCCCTTGGCTGGTCCCGCCCCTCTTAAAGTTAGTTTCAAGGGGTCGGGAAATCGATTGAAGAAAAGACAGAAGAAAAGGGGACTTACAAAGATGATGTAGCCTGACTCTGGCCGCATCGAAGGATGCCCCGGCACTGAGTAGATGAAGTCGAGGGCGGCACCCGTGTCGTCCCACAAAGGTTCCATCGCCTCCTTGATGCGTTGCGTGATCTCATAGAGTTGAGGAGCGTCCCCTCGGCGAGCGTCGTTCCGTCAAACGATGCCTCGGGCGCCATCGCATATAGCGGGAGCACGCGTGTCATCAATGGTGCCACCCTCCTTGCGTGGTAAGCCACAATGATGTCTGACCCTTTCAGGCCGTTCTCCTACAAGATGTGGATGGTGGCAATGTGGTCTCGGATCTTCTTCTTGTCCTTCTTTGGGACGCCCCCACTTCCTCCACTGCTCCGAGGCCTCTTCGATCGGGCGCCCGGTGAACTCTGGTAGAGGGGCGGCGGCATCGTTCTTGAGGTAGAACCACTGCGAGTGCCACCCCTTGTTGGACGTTGATAGCCGCATGGACGGGTACTCGCCGACCCGATTGTTCCGAAGTTGGATGCCGACGCACCCCATCGGCATGTGCAGCTCTTGCCTACCGCTCTTTTCCCTCTTCTTCTAGAGGGTGATGGCGAAGAAGTGCCTCCACAAGTCAAAGTGGGGGCTGATCCCTAGGAATCCCTCGCACAGGGCACCGAGGGCCGCCATGTGATGAATCCCATTGGAATTGAGATGCTGCAGCTCGATCTTGTAGTAGTGCAGCAGCCCCCGAAAAAATTTGTGGGCGGGGGTCATGAACCCATGCTCGTGGAAGTGGGCGAACGACACCACATAGCCATCGGGCGGCGATGGCAAATCCTCCTCGTCGGGCAGCAACCACTGATCGCCCAAGGTTCACGCGCGGAGAAGACCACGACAGACGAGGCCCTCCATGCGCTGGAAGGTGATTTTGGAACGACACCATGGTTCCATTGGAGGTGGGGCGGATGGATGCGGGCTTAATGGCGGTGGAGATGCAGAGACAAGAAACCTAAGTGATGGCGGCGGCGGCGTGGCTGCGGAGAAAAGGATGCAACGTATGGAACCCGGGGGTAACCCTTTGGTTTTATAGAGGCGACGGGCGTGAGGAAACCAACCACCCGCCTAGATCTTCATGCCTACCACGACCTGCCACCATGACTCACCGCGAGGCGTGCACATGCAACCTGTGTCCGTTCTCTCAAAAAACTCGTCGGATGTTTAGCCATGACCCATCATAGGTAAAAGGGATGGAACTAAAGACGCTCCTATGGCCCATCTAGGCCCAGGAGTTCAAAGGTTGGCCCACCGATGGATTCGACAACCGCTCTGGGCACCTTTAGAGTAAGGGGAGGAAAAGGGTGGCCCCGCTAGCGGCTAGTACCTAAGCGCACGAGCGCCGCGGGCATCCTGGCCCACGTTCGAGTCTCGGTCGGATTCAATCCATGGTTTTTCCTCGAAGAAAGGCAGAGAGCCCTCGAGACCGGTCGAACGAACCCAAGAACTGTATGGATTGATCGCTGAGATTCTAGAGCCGGTCACTAGCTGACCCAAGATAGATCCCCGTGAACGGGATGTCAGGGCCCCACTCGGACTAGCCGTTAATGGCTCACCAAGCACCATGATTTGTCCATAGAGGAAAATCATGACACGGCTCAGCCCCTCTGTTTTTATCAGAAAAAAACGCTTGAGGGAAGTCAATCTCAAAGACAAACCGATCCTCGACCGAACCCCTGCTATGGGCGGGGGCTCGAGGAATGTTGGACTCGCACAAAGGCCAAACGCTCGGTCGCAGAACGACAGACTCCCAAAGGGATCGAAATCAGGAAAGACATTTTCTGACCTATCAGATCTCATGGCTATACCCCCGAGGGGTCCGATCTCGACGAAAGGGAATCACCGTCCCCAGGTCACGCCGTGGGTGACAAAAGAAGGCCAAGGCCCTCAGAGTCCTCCCGTTCGGAAAAACCTTCAAAGGAGTATTCTACTCCTCCACACGCGGGGGCTACTGTCGAGGACCAATACTAGGGTACCCAAAGAGGAGGGGCTAATGGTCATCAACATTAATTCATCTGAATAGTCAAGAGCACGACTACAACTCCAACCGACCCCCAGGCGCGTGGGCTCCGCCTCGAGCAAACCTCTGGGAAGCCTCTGGGGAAGGACTCCGCCTCATCCAACCCCGAGGCCACGGGCTCCGCCTCGCCCGACCCCGAGGCCGTGGGCTCCGCCTCGCCCGACTCTTGGGTTTGCGCTCTGCCTCGCCCGACCCTTGGGTTTGCGGTCCGCCTCGCCCGGCCTCTGGGGAAGGGCTCTGCCTCGCCTGACCCCTAGGCCGTGGGCTCCGCCTCGCCCGACCCTTGGGTTTGCTCTCCTCCTCGCCCGGCCTCTAGGGAAGGGCTCCACCTCGCCCGACCCCAAGCCCGCGGGCTCCGCCTCGCCCGACCCTTGGGTTTGCGCTCCGCCTCGCCTGACCTCTGGGGAAGGGCTCCGCCTCGCCCGACCCCAAGGCCGTGGGCTCCGCCTCGCCCAACCCTTAGGTTTGCGCGCCGCCTCGCCCGGCCTCTGGAGGAGGGCTTCGCCTCGCTGACCTCGAGGCCGCGGACTCCGTCTCGCCCGACGGAGACCCATGCCGCCGCTAACCACTCTAGGTCCAAGTGTATGGGCCTGGGTCAAAGCTCTAACTCCAGAGAGGAGACCGACACGCCCCGATGTAACCCGCGGACACGATGGGCCATACCCAAGGATTCACATCAGGAACAGCGTCGGGCGTACCGGTGCTGTTCTGCCTAACCCTCGTACGAACACTGACAGGCGCGTTAGTTCACCAAGACGTCCGCCAGGACGGAGTGGAGCGCCATGACTGTCAGATGACGCCTGGGCATGGCAACAGTGACGAACAGGGCCGCGACGTGGAGCCATCCATGTTGACATCTACAGGGTCGGCGGGACCCGTATGAAGGATAAGAAGGACCTGACGATTCTAAAGGCCTTCGGCTCTATCTTGTTCTTCTCTTTCTCTTCGCTGTAACCTGTGCTTTCCGTTGGCCTATAAAAGGGAAAGCAGGGCGCCCCACGAAGAGGATTGATCGATTGATTGAGGCCAGACCCGACCGAACCATCACGAACCCATCGAACATCGAACCGACCAGAACACAACACAAACACACGGCTGAGCAGCAACCGAGCTCTCGGCACCCATTCACTCTTTCCACCAGAGACTTGGGACATGTCCCTCTCTCGTCCGTTTGTAACCCCTAATATAAATTTTCAGTGCTAGTAACGCGAGCAGCAGCGACGAGCTGGACGTAGGGACATTCTGTCCGAACCAGTATAAACCTCGTGTCCTCTAAACACACCATCCGAGCCAAACGCGCAATACTAGAAATTTACTCGTCGGTGGTTACTCGAAACACCGACAAATGTGTTTTTGTCTAATTCTAGAATGTTGAATCATGCAGAATGTAAACCGTTTAAGATTGGTCGATGGATTCATCATAATCATAAGGATATATTGTACTCTAAATTCGATGTTCAACGGAACCAAAACCACCGGAGAATAATATGATAGAAGAGCTTGATAGACTATTGTTTATATTTATTTTAAATATTTTTATATGTATTGGGGTGTGTTTTGTTGGGTTTTACAAAATTCCTCCTTTCGTTAGAAAAAGAATTACCGTAAATGTGCGCTAAGTTTGTTGTGTAGACAATCAAAAAGTCCAACAAAATTAAGTCATTCCTTTTCCTAATTTTGTACATGTGGGCAATATACTTAGAACATCACAAATGAGCAATGCTATACTGTACGTATACTCCGATCCTATCCATTTCCAAAATGCAAAAGAAAAACAAAAGCTGCTTAATTACTTATCTATATACGTTAAGCACTTTTGTCCTACCCTAAAACACACCAGCAATATACCCAATAACTTGCTTCAATTCACGAATGGTGGAACTCATGGGGTGGTGATGCAATGCAGCTGCGTGATGAACAGTTCGTTCATCAGAAGTTCTCCTTGTGGAAGACGAACTTGGTGGTGGTCTTGTGCGAGAAGTCCTGCGACAGCCGCCGGAGCTCCGGCGTGACCTTCTGGTCGCCGCAGTAGAAGACGCCGACGCGCTGGCCCTGGTGGTTGCAGGCCACCCGCTTGAAGACGTCCCGCCAGTTGGGCCGCGCGAAGTGCGTGCGCACGCGGGTCCCGGACACCACGTCGACGCCGCTCTTGGCGTGGTGCAGCGCCTGCAGCATCACCAGCAGCGCCGACCGCGCGTCCCCTTCCTCGTACACGCTGGTGCAGTGGTTGTGCAGCTCCACCACGTCGCCGCGGGCGTCGCGCTCCGCCACCTCGTTCATCACGCCGCGGAACCACTCGAAGGACCCCTCCTCCCGCGTGCACCAGTAGAAGTACACGCGCCGCGTCATGAACTCAGCCGCTGGCGACGACGATGCCGGCTGCTCTTCGTCGGCGTTGGCGGCGGAGATGTTGTTGAGCACGTCCTTGACGATGCTGATGAGCGGGGTGGCACCGATGCCGAGACCGATCAGGAGGAGCACGTCGTACTTGCGGTAGTCCTGCGCGGGCGCGCCGTAGGGCCCGTCGATCAGCAGCTTCGGGAGCTTGCCGGACGCCGCCGCCGTGGAGGACGCGAAGTCGGCCCGCAGGAGGCCGCTCTGCCCGGCGGCGGGCGGCCGGCAGACCTGCGCGAACAGCGCCCTGAAGCTGGCCGTCCAGTCGCCGCGGCACCTGATGTGCATGCTCAGGTAGTCGTCGCCAGGCGCCGAGGTGATGGTGAACGGGTGCCTGCAGTGCAGCCACGAATGAATTAAGCAACAGATCGATCAACATCCATGGCGCGCGATCACGGTCGCCGACGCCGGGCCGGCAGTATAATGACTGAGGCTGCGGCTTACCACTCGAACGGCGAGACCTCGCCGCAGTTGACGTAGATGTACTGCCCGCTCTTGTAGCTGAACCCGTGCGGCTTGCTCATGTGAATGGCGATGACATTTCCGGGGTACAGGGCGACCTTCTCGATCCTCACGGTGGTGAGGCCATGGGACCTCAGCGCCCGGAGAAGCCGCTCGCCGGCGTAGAGCAGGATGGGGATGGCGAGGTACATCCATGTCTGAATTTGCATCATTTCAAGCGACAGATTTTGTCAGGACAAACCACACACGAACATGATGTTGTCGAAGAGAGAATCCAACAAACAATGCATTGAACTGAAAACTTGATCTGAAACAAAAAATCCTCACCGTCTGCTTGTACCACGTCCGGTTGATGTAGAGGCAGACGCCGTGGACGACGAAGGCGACGTAGACGATGACGAAGAGGTGGTGCGAGTACCAGAACATGTTGAAGCCGCTGAGCCGGCGCAACGGGTTGCCCTCGCTGAGCTTTCCCCGGCGGAACCACGGGTGCGCCAGCGTGTAGGCTATGGCCATGAGCACGACCATGATGACGCCCGTGACGCCCTCGACGCCCTTCACGAACCACCAGTAGTCCGGGATCCGGCGCTGGCCGAAGTAGGCCTTCATGGGCTCGTACGCGGCGGCGCTGGCGTGCAGCAGCCTTGGGAAGTCGCACGTGAGGTGCGTCACGGCGTGCAGCGCGACGCCGACGGCCACGCCCCCCGCGACCACCTTGTGGAAGTTGATGTTGTCGTTGAACGGGACGGCGGCACCGAGCCTGGTCCGGGACCGGAGCCAGGTGATGGTGTTCCGGCAGACCGGGAGCAGGATGAGCGCCATGTTGAACTTGGTGGTCTCGGCGCCGCCCTTGGCGACGCAGACGCAGTAGCCCATCACGCCGAACGTCGGGTGGCGACGGTACGCGGCGAACTTCCAGGCGAAGAGCGCCGCGTTGATGGCCAGCCACAGCGTCATCACCCACATGCGCTTCCAGTTGTCCTCCAGGAAGTAGAGGACGCCCCTGGCGGCGCGCCGGAGCGCGCTGTCGTCGCGCGCCGGCGCCAGCCTCTGGCTGATCAGCTGGCTGATGTTGGAGCTGTGCGTCACCAGCGTCGTCGTCGGCGCCTGCGACGCCGGCTGCAGCAGCAGCGACTCCAGGTTGGCGATCTGTTTCCATGTGTTTGTTTCGTTGGTTGATTCAGAGGTCAATGTAAAGCTGATGCAGAATTCAGAGGGCAAGCAGAGCAAGAGTATGAACCTCGATGTAGCCGAGGTTGTCGGGATCGAGCTCCTCCATGATCAGTGCGGTGTACTCGTCGACGCGCTCCAGGATCTTGGACAGCTTGTTGGCAGAGGCGGTCAGAGTGAGGACCTGATGGTGCAAGGAATTCAGAAAGTTTAGATTGTTGATCCATTGAGCTATCAATAAGTGATAAAATGTCTGTCACCATTGATCTGTTTCATGGACTAGTTTCATTACCTCTTTGAGCTCCTCTTCAGTGATCTGGCCATCGGCATTCTTGTCAACCCTGCAACAAGTTGACAATCAAGCAAGTTTAGACATGGAGTACAGACTTTCTGAAAGTCGTATTAGAAATTCAGAATGCACTTTGCTCCTAGTACAGGATTAAACCCATGACATACATGTCAAAGAAGGTCTGAAGCTTGGCATCGAATCCTGGATCAGAGAGCTGCTCCCAGAACTCCCGGACCTGATCCTTGGTGAGTATCATGGCTGTGATCCCCCTTCGCCGTGCAAGGGCGTCAAAGATCTGTGCTGCAAACTCCTCGGATCCAACCATCCCTGCAGTGCAGCATTAGGTGGACGCACAGAAAATCAGACAAGTTCAGAGTTTTTGTTTCCTCTTGTACCAAACCAAATGGTTTTAGAGTAGAGGGACAGAGAGATGCAAGAAGGAAGAGTGGCAAGGAGGTGGCGCTCACCGATGCACTGGCCGAAGCGTGAGCGGAGCAGGAAGCCGTCGACGGCGAGGCGGTGGAATCGCTTCTCCACCTCGGTCCATCCCTCCGTGACGGCGGCCTGGTTGAGGAACTGGAGGTCCCTGAGCGCGCTGGCGGCGCCGGTGACGACGCTCCTGTCCAGCGACTTGGGGCGGTCGGGGTCGCGGCGGAGCAGCGCCGAGAGCGGCACCGCGGCGCGTTTCCCCGACGCGATGCGGCCGAGGTGCGCCCGCCCGGCCCTGAGCTTGGACGACAGGCTCCCGGAGGCCGATGAGGTGGGTGGGTGGTCCAGGAGCGCGGCGGCGTCCTGCGCGTCGCCCAAGACGACACCGCCGCCGCCGCCAAGGACGACGTCCTTGATGGCGCGGACGGCGACGTCGCCGCCGCCGTCGTCGCGGACGTCGAGCGTGACCTCGACGTACTCGTCCTCGTCCTTGAACCGCGTGCTCCGGCGGCTGCCGCTCTTGCCGTCCGTGGACGGGCTCTTGAACGCCGTGGGCGGCGGTGGCGGTGGCCCTGCGCCGCCGCCGCTCTCGGGGTGGCCCGACGACATGGCAATGAGTGGAAGTTCCTGCAGAGCATTCCAACGGCGAGAAACGTCAGCGCGCCCCGTCGTCAAGATCGCAACATGGTGTGATAACAGAAAATTTGTAAAACTAGCATGCTCTCTCTCCTCCTCGGATGAGATATGGCAGTGCTATTGCCGCTTTGTCCAAAAAAAAAAGGGACTCGATATGAAGACCTTTTTTAGTAGGAAAAAGAAACGTTCGCATAAAGCTCTTGCTCGTACATGCAAAATCTATGACTATGATGTTACTGTCAAATTGAACGAAACACTCTAGGAAAATCTACATGCATGCAGGGTGCAGGGAAAGGGGACGCGAAAGCGAAACGGTGAGGCAGGCACTCACCTTGCGCAGCGGCAGCGCAGTGGGATTTGAGGCCGGCCCGGATGGAGGTGGCAAGACGTACAGGACGTGTTCCAAATCCGGAGGATGCAGAGCTTCAACTTGAACAAGCAGATTGTGGAGGCTATATATATATATATATATATATATATATATATATATAGGCAATGCAATGCAGCAGGCCTCAAATTGGTTAGCAGTAGGGCGAGGACTGGATCGACATGGATACTGGTGTTGTGGGTTGGGTGAGGGAGAGACAGCAAAGCAAACAGAGCATGCATGATGATTGAAGGCGGTGTGGAGGTGGCGAATACAGGGGGCGGCCCCAAGGTTAGAGCTTCAAATCCGGCAGCCGGGTCCGAGACTCCTCCTTGCTGAGTTCCTGTATTAGGTGGAGGCCAGGCCACAGGAGGGAAAACCGGTGAAGCCGCTCTGCCGGTTTTAGGAGTACTAGGACTGTAGTATATTCCATTCGGCGGCGGCGGTTCTGTCGTAGCCTCTCTAGTTATTTAGGGCCTGTTTAGATCTCTTTCAGTTTGGAAAATGGACATCTGTAGCACTTTTGTTTGTATTTGGTAAAAATTATCCAATTATGGACTATTTAGGCTTAAAAGATTCGTCTCGCCAATTACGGGTAAACTGTGCAATTAGTTATTCTTTTTACCTACATTTAATGCTCCATGCATGTACCGCAAGATTCGATGTGATGGAAAATCTTAGAAAATTTTGGATTTTAGGTGGGATCTAAACAGGGCCTTATTTGTTTGCACGCTCTCTCTTCCCGTGTTTGCCGCGTGTGTGTGTGATGAGCACATCCTGATCCCCTGGCACAACACTTGCAACAGTGCCTTCTGAGTCCAGACAGTCCTGTGCGATTTTAGATTCGTTGCAAAACCAAGGAGCAGAGTAGCAGCAGTAGTATGTTTGGCGAGGCCTTGTGGGTTGTGTTCCGCATCAACCCTTTTTGTCTTTGATTTGAAGCCGACGGATGGACGGACGAACGGACGGTCTATGTGACGATCTTCTGGTTCCATGCATGATTCCATTCCATCATATCGGTGCTCAACTCATGCGAGAAAACGAAATCTCGAGATTTGTTTCAAACGTACGTACAAATTCTCCAACGTGCTCGTCGCCATCACCGCTAGCTGTTAAAGTTTACCAACCTCTATCGCTTGGGCTACCTACTAAGCTCCCAAAAGTTAATCAGCAACATGCCAAATACTATAATAATAACTCTACGTGGAAGTGGCATGCATACAAAAACAAAGGTTGGGATGGGAAACCGGGTCTGCGCCCCCGGTTTCTGAAATCTGAAAGCCGTCCACCCTGGGGCCCTGCCCTGGGATGGGAAAACGCCCGTGCCGACGCCACGCCTTGTCGTGCGTGCACATGGTGCGCCTTTGTTTCCGCATGCACGCCACGTGAACAGGCGAGAGCAGCCACATAGACGACGACTCTTCAACAGGAGCATACATGCATGGGTGCTGTCCCAACCCGTGGAAACTACGCACGGTTTTGACAGTGGCCACGTTAACGAGAAATCATCTATAAAAATCATCTAGGTTTCTTCGCCTAATAAATGTTGCCTTTTTTTATTTTGCTTTCTCTTTCCATGGTCTTCCTCCTGGCCACCGGGCGCGAGCTCGTGCTCACGATGGAGCAGCATGCACACGAACGACGAGCATAGAGGAGAGCAACCTGCACGGACGACGAGCGTAGAGGAGCCTCACGATGGAGTAGCCTGCACGGACGACGAGCATCGAGGGCTGCGTGCTCGCACCTGTCATCGCCGTGGAGCCCGGCCTCGGCCGGAGAGCAGCGTCGAGCGCGGCGGCGCGGGCGACCGAGCGCAGCGGCAGGCAGGCTAGCGCGTCGGCACGGGCGAGCGAGCGCAGCGGCCGGCGGGCCGGCAAGCGAGCAGTGCAGACGTGTGCGGACGAGCACGGCGGCCTGCAAGGTAGCGAGCAGTGCGGACGTGCGGCCGGCAAGCAAGCGAGCAGTGCGGACGTGCGGACGAGCGCGGCGGCCAGCAAGCAAGCGAGCAGTTTGGACGAGGGCGGCGGCGCACGCGACTGCGGCCGTCGGCGCGTTCGAGCATGGCCGGCGCGGTCGAGGCGTCGAGCCCAGCCCGTACGCGAGCGCGGCAGCGCACGCGGGCCCCAGCACGTAGACGCCCGTGGTTTCTTCCCAACGCTGGACTCGTCGTTTCTTGGTACATCGGGTGCACGCGGACGTGTTCGGCTGGGTTATCGTTAGAGAAAAATACGGTACATTCTAAATAAATCGACTAATAAATTTAAATGAACATGTCTTCTACAGAAAATAATTTCTTTATTTTTTTCTTCTCTTTCCTCGTTAATAAGATTTTCATGTCAGCATTTTATTAGTTGGCAAGTTATTAAATAGAGATAGAAACTATTATTAATGTTTTATTGGGACTGCCCTTTGGAGTTTCAGGACATTCCCAATGCATATAGTTTCTATATTTATTAATTTCTATAGACATTATGTATAATAATTTTTTAACCAATCACATACATTCTTTCTTCATTCTCTACCAATCACATCTCTTTATGTCTTGGTTCTTGTGTAGATATGGTTTCTAACTTAGACCCGATTTCTATGATTTTTGCTCTTTCTCTTTAATAACTACCTTGTCATATAAGCAAAACGCTTAGATGACAGTACAATTATTATTCATAGAAATTATGATGGTTTCTGCATTGAGAGTGCCCTCGTGTCTCAGTTTTTAACGCATCCATATTTTAAAAATAGTGCAGCAGAGTTACATCCCCATAAAAAATATTATGGAACAAAAAACCAAAAAACAAATATTCTGAAACAAATCAGATTATTTCATCGCTGGACAAGCTGACACATGTGCACTGCACAAGCAGACAAATCATTCACTTAACAAAAGGTTCAGACGAAGTGGACGATTGTCACCTCGCCGCCTATTGACGGCATCTGGACAAAAATTTCAAGCCAAATCAGCCCACGGAGAAGAACATCGCTCGAGAAGATTTCCCACCATTTCAATTCGTACTCAACCAAGGCCCAGTTCAGATGCAAAATTTTTTGCAAAATAAGCACCGTAACATTTTCGTTGTTATTTGATAATTAGTGTCAATCATAGTCTAATTAGGCTTAAAAGATTCGTCTCGTGGATTTCGTCTAAACTGTGTAATTAGTTTTATTTTTTATTTATATTTAATGCTTCATGCATGCGTCTAAAGATTCGATGTGACGGGGAATCTTGAAAAATTTAGCAAAACGAAGTGGAACTAAACACGACCCAAATTGGAAGAGCAGTAGCACAGAATTCGATTTTACTCAAGGCGGAGGAGGTCCTTGTCGCCGAGCACTAGGAGACCGCGCCGGCTACGGACGCCGACGGCGGCGCCCGAGTGGGCTTGGACGAACAGCGCTGGACAACACTAGTAGAGAACATACCTTTCATCCGAGGTTAAAATGGGCTCTAGTCCCGGTATTTTTTGCGCCCAGGACTAGAGAGACCTTTAGTCCCGGTTGGTGTCTCCAACCGGGACTAAAGGTCCCTGCCTTGCCAATTGGAGCCACCAACCAGGACTAAAGGTGGACCTTTACTCCCAGTTGGAGCCACCAACCGGGACTAAAAGTCCTCCAACCTTTAGTCCCGGTTGGTAACAATGGGTTAGTTCAAAAGGGAAGCATCCCATCCATTGTTAGATGTGTTGTGTAGGTGGGGTGGTAAGCTACGCGCGAGGCAATGCATGAGGTCTTGTGTTCGAATCTCACGGGACGCAGCGGTGGGAGGCATTATTTTTTTTAAAGCTGGGAGGACATTTAGTCCCGGTTCTTGACCTGGGACTAAAGGTTAGTCCCGGATGCTTGCTCCCGGGTGGGGAACCGGGACTAGAGGGGGTTCCCCACCGAGAGTAAAGCCCATCTCTGTATCAGTGCAAACGGTGCCGAGGAAGATGCAGCATCGCTGAATCTATCACCTCACCGGAGCGCTCGCCGTGGTGGCCGGAATAGCAGGCGGCGGCGCTAGGGTTTGTGGGAGAGAAGGACCGACGTGAGGAAAGAACGTCGGGCAGAGTAGGCGGACGGAGAAACTTGTGGGCCTGTTCGCTGCACAATTTTTCTTGCACACTAAAATAGTTTCAGCCGGCTTTAATACCAGCCGAACAGGCCCACGAATCGATATTATTACGTAACGAGCGGCAGTGATGAATAATTTTCACCCAACTCCACGAGGGAATACAAAACTTCTGTTTGTGTAGTACCCCTTGAGGAGCTTCATGAAAAACGTGGAGGTGGCCTCAAACTCCACCTTTTTTTGGAGCAGAATTCTTGGAGCTGTGCCAGACAAGTTTAGAGCAAAGCTGAAAAGGCTAGAGCGGAGTAGTCCCAAACAGACCCTTAATGTCCATAAAACTCTGATGAAATCCCGTTAAGACTGGCCTTAGGCAGTGAGGTATGGCCCACTCGTCAGTGAGGCTGTAGCTAATACTACTCTCCTACCTTCGCTCCTCATATTCCCTCCCTCCCGCCCTCCCGTGGACTGGAATATAACTGCTGGCGTTCCGTACGTGCAGCTTTAGCTTATACTACCCCGGCCCCGCTGTCAGAATCAGATTGTGCTCCGGTCAGACGGGTGTGAGTGAGACTAGTACGTACGTACGTACGTGTCAACACCGTGAGACAAAGACAAGAGAGGCAGATAGAAGTATACTCCTATTACTTAATTTCATCATTAGCATTGCCATTACATCGTCCTTGGATTCGTTGCTGGGCGTCGTGACGTGGTCTACCATTTTTTTCTTTTTTTGAGTTTGACAAATAATGGTCGTCTGCCGCATGTAGCCCGAGCCCCGGCCACCACCAACTCATCAAATCCTGTAGGCGTTCCACTCCCTCCTCCCCTAGTTTCTCTCACAATCTTTGTTTCCTTTTGTTTATTACTGTTACCCAAAACTCCAAAAGGATATCTTCTTCCATTTTAGTAGTCATGACTCATATCAGGATTTGGAACAATCATACTTTATAGTTACTGTCGACCAACGATTACTTATTATATGTATGTTTAGTGTGTGTGTGTATATATATATATGAATAAATTCATATTCAAAATATCATTTATTGTATTTTCTCATCACATTACGGACGCAGACACTTATATATCCACGTACATTCACCTCTACGAATGTACACACCCCACCAGGCCTATGTATGAGCACCTCTGAAATATAGATTAGTTTTAGTATATATGTTAATGTATTTTTCTGTAAATTTGATTTAAGTTAGACACAATAAGGTTAACTTTGAACAAAATTAAAGCCAACCATCTTAGTATTTTACAAGAGGGTGGGAGTACCGGAGTAGCCTGAGCTGATAAATAACGCTTACACGCATCTATATATCCAAGCCGTCATCAAATGTCATTTATCAAAGAAAACCGGTTACCATGCTAAAGTTCTATACCAAAAGAAGGTCAAAGAAACACGTTGGTGGTTAACGCGTTAACATAGTGCTATCTCGACTGGAATCGACTAATTAAATCGAGCGTTGAAACATCAACGAGATCACCCCAGTGAAACCGGTTTGGTGACTCCGGCAGGAGCATGTGCCTCGGGAATCTCATGAGCACAGCTGTCTGGTGTCATTTTTTTTTTCTTTATCAATATAAGATGGTGTCTTTTTTTCTTTATCAATATAACAAGGAGGACAAGAACGAGCAAAGGCTTCAAAGCTTGTACAACGAGCCAGATGATGATGAATGGAGCATGGATGGGTTGCTTTGGACTAGGATCAGGATACTCTAATAATTAGGGACTTTGGTGTTCAGTTTCATAGTCCGGAGATCATATGAGAATCATTTAATAGTTTATTGTGGACTGTCCATGTAATTATGAGGTGTTGTAGTTTGAAGACCTGAACGAGAATGACGCCGTTGTGATTTACTCAAAGAACTATATAATACAAGATTACAAGAGCTATCTAGCATGCACTCATGCCTCTTTGAATTGAACAAACTAAACCCAGAGCTAATACGCATACATGCAAGAGCTTGAACCAATTAATGCAAACACTTCAAAGTTGCTTGAATAACCTAGCTGGCTAGCTCTTTGAAACTAGCCAATGGGTTCTGTGTGTTTCGAACCCGTGCCCATTCACCGAGTCTGTGATATGGTTCTTCGACAAGAACACGAAATGAAAGTTTTTTTTAATATAATTGAGAAATGATTCGCCAACGAAGTTACATGGTTGCAAGATGCAATGCACGAGAGACAAACAAAATGAAATAATAAAAATAAAAAATGGTAAAAATGAAATGCGCATCCGTGGGAGGGTACTATGATACCACTACACCAGATGCGCCTGTTTTGCTGCAGTTCCACTTATACTGGTACTATCGAGCTATGCCGGACGGAGACCGAGGCCAGGCGACGGATCAGATCGAGTTGAGAGCCGCATCTCCCAAAGAGGCCAAACATCATGTAGGCAGCACGACAAAGTCCAAAACTCTGGGCGACGCAAGGTGCATGCATAATCCATGTATCACTTTTATAAATTCATTCATATGAACAAACCCCTTTCAGTTCATCCATCATTCCATGAGAGATTATTAACAAACTCTGAGCAACAAAGTATTTGAATGCAGACGTATAAAGTTTTCAGAGTAGCTTCGGAATAGTGTATCGTAAGATTACTAATAGGCGAATAATTGATCACCTTAAAAACCGGTAAAATCAGGCATACGACTATTAACAAAGTGCTCTTTCTCTAGGATTGGACGACGTAGATTGGCCGGTCGTTTAGTTGACTGACATTTTGCCTGTCGGACAAGAATGGAAGGGGATGACTCACTCGCTCGGTGTACGGTAGAAGGATTCTTCAGACTTTGGTGAAACCTTTGACAGCAAAAGGAACGCAGGTGGACATCATGAGCGCTCAAAACATGTAGTATGGCAATTTTTTTTTTTTGCATCAACCGCAAAACGAATGGTATGACGACAGAGGGGGTGTGGAGAATGCAAACCTTTGTTGTCATCTCATCCCCACGTACAGATCTTTCATCATTCCATGAGTTTTTTTTTTTTTTGGGGGGGGGGTGGGGGGGGGGGGCGCGGGGGGGGGTGGATGATAAGCACTAAGCACAAGCCTGAGCGTCAACCATGATGTCACTGCAACTGAAGCAGACAACCAATGGTATGTTGTGAACAAAATATGCTCTTGATTTCTACTGTGCACACTGATGGACGGTATCTCATCTTATGTGATAAAACAAATGTATGAGGATCCAGTAAGATGCACAATAATATCATTATAATTTACTATATATCTAGGGGCAACATTGAGAATGGTAACTTTAAACTTTGGAAAGAACAAGCTGCAGAAACAGTGCGTCGCCAATGACATCGTTAACACAAAGAAGGAACCAGAGGTGTGCTTTTCTATGCTAAACTCTGGAATCTGGAATCCAGATATTGCTACTTCTTAGGCTAATGATTCATCAATCAGTACCAGAGAGTTTTCAGAGTTCAGCAGAAATCATATACTGCAAGATTTAAAGTAACCCAAACACAAGATTTTATCCAGCGATCTCCAATCCAGTGCGAATCAGTTCCATCTTATCCCCAAAAGGAGCTGTGACTACTATCAACACTGACTTATTTTGTGTAATCAAGGAAAAGGTTTTTACACAGCCAACTACAACAAAGGAGTGTTACCATGGCGCTAAGCCTTATATTCCTATTGTTCCAATGACAAAGCTCAGGTCTCATACAGATACAGTAGAGGGGTAAGTGCACCAGAATAGCATTTTGAATTTGAAGGCTGCAGCAACCAAATGAACATTTCCCAAATATCATAATAAAAATTCTTGAGGAATCCATATTGCAGCTGCAGCAGCAGCAAGCAAATAAGCACTCCCAAATATCATAACAAAATCTCATGCATAAAATTCTTGAAGTGACATCTCCATCACAGGACCCTAGCACCTAGCTGAGCTAGGCATAGGCATTGAATCCAAAAGCCTTTCTTCACCTCTGCATAAGCACTTTGAAAATTTAGCGACATACAGGGACAGAATATACATTAATCAATCAAGTATAGTCTTCGAAGAAAGGTAGGAAGACAGCCTACTCTATTTGTAGTGGTTACTGGTTATCAGTTCACCCTGTAAACAACATATCCTGATCCATTCAACATTGCCTATATATGACTAAAACATGCATCCATATATTGAAATTGAAAAAAAAATAAAAGGTCGTTCCAACTGTTCCTCTACAGTTAGAGGAATATATTTAGGTACATCCAAGTATTTTCAGTGGTTATTGGGTATCAGTTATCACCCTGCAAACAACATATCCTGATCCATTCAACATTATCTATATATCTAAAACAGGCATCTGTACATTAAGGCAAAAATAAAAACTGTTTCCAACTGTTCCTCTACAGTTTTAGAAGAGTTTATTTTGGCACATCACAATATTTCTAGGGGCAGGAAGCTGTGTGTCTGGTCCGGCACCATGCTTGCAGGGCAGTAAGGGGAGTTGCGCATTTGCAATTGTTTTTTGACACTTGTTATCAATCCTAATTTCTGGTCATGGCTGCATTATCCTTCTACAAGACAATACATTCATTATGGTGCAATGTGCCTCCAGAAGCATGTTAAAGCTTCTATGTTCTTTGGATATGGTTGTTCTAGAGGGGCTCATCATTTATTTGGCAGCATCATTAGCCACTTAGTTTCTCGATGATGCTGTACTGCTCATGTTCACCTCTTGCTAATCTTCATCTAAAACAAACAAAACAAACTTCTAAATTTGGCTGCATATTATGTATCTGGATAATTGTACATTTATCTCAATGGATGAAAAGAAATGATGAGCCATTCTCTTGATAACTTGATGCTTTATTACTGTTTCACGCAAATAAAAAAAAAGGCCACAACCCAATTACACAAAATGGAATGAACTGGTATTATTGATGAACATAATGACCTTGCTGTAATACCTATAGAATGACGAGCAACCCAGCAGCTCAGCAATGGTAGATCACGAATCAACCTTCGCCATGGCCTCAACCCTCCCGGCGAGGAGCTTCTCGACGTACTTCCCCAGTATATCCGCCTCCAGGTTCACCTTGTCTCCGACCTTCTTGGTGGGCAGCACGATGTTGTCCTGCGTGTACCTGACGAGCATGAAGTCAAACCAGCCGCCCTCGTCGTCCACGCTGACAACGGTGAGGCTCGTGCCGTCGACGGCGACGAAGCCCTTGGGCACGAGCAGGCGGAGGATCTCCGGCGGCGCGCGCACGGTGACCCAGAGCGAGTCCCCGTCCGGCCGGAACGCGGCGATCTCCCCAGTCCCGTCGACGTGGCCCTGCACGAAGTGCCCCCCCATGCGGGACGACGGCGTGAGCGCGCGCTCGAGGTTGACGCCGTCGCCCGGGGCCCGCCCGCCCAGGGACGTCCGGCGGAGCGTCTCCGGCGCCACGCCGAAGGTGAGCGTGGACGCGGCCGGGTCGATCGCCGCCACGGTGAGGCAGGTGCCGTCGACCGCCACGCTGTCGCCGAGCTGCGTCCCGGCGAGGAGGTCCCTGGTCTCGACCTCCAAGTCGAGTCCGGGAGCCTCGCCGCCGCCGCCCCCGCCAGAAGACGGCGCGAGCGGCGGGCCGAGGCGGCGCACGCGGCCGACCTCCTCGACGATGCCGGTGAAGAGGGAGCGTACGGGGACGTGGGAGGAGGAGGAGGCGGAGAGGCTCTTCGGGACGGGGGAGAGCGAGAACCGCGGCGGCGGCAGGCGCAGGCGCGCGAGCGCGGAGGCCGTCGCACCCCGCGAGGCGAAGGGGAGCGTGGCGGGGCCCGGAGGCGATGGGAGGAGACCCCCGCCGCCGCAGCGGAGGAGCAGGTGCGGGCTGTGGTTGCGGACGGCGGCAACCGCAGCGGCTGGCGGCGCCATCGCCAGAGAGATTCCTCCGGCGGTTCGCGGTGGCCGGTGAGGACTGGGGATAGGGGAGTTGGAGTCGGAGTCGGCTCGGGCGGCTCTCGGGTTTTTGTATCATAAAACCCGAGACCCGAGACCCGCGGGCGCCATCGCTACTCGCTTTCCTGCGGGCTCCACACGGCAGCGAACGCGAGCCCGAGGTTTAGCTCTGGTCTGGTTACCCTGCCGCTAATCCCCTCGCGCCGCCGGAGAGGAAGCGAAGGGAGAGATCTGCGAGCGGCCATGGCGGCGGCGGAGCAAGGGGTGGACGCCGCGAGGAAAGAGGAGGAGGAGGAGGAGGAACAGGTGGTGAATCCGTGGGAGGTGTCAGCGGGGAAGGGCGGCATCGACTACGACAAGCTCGTGGACCAGTTCGGCTGCCAGCGCATCGACGACGCACTCGTCGGCCGCATCGCACGCCTCACCGGACGACCGCCGCACTGCTTCCTCCGCCGAGGCCTCTTCTTCGCCCACCGGTACCGAGCCACCTGCACAAAAGAAAAAAACCTACTTTTTTTATCCCCGGAGGAGGAGGTGCTGACGAATTTTTTGTGCTTTTTTGTGTTATATATAGTGATTTGAACGAGCTACTGGATTTGTATGAGAAGGGGGAGAAGTTCTACCTCTACACGGGGAGGGGGCCCTCGTCGGAGGCCCTGCACCTCGGCCACCTCATCCCCTTCATGTTCACAAAGTAAGCATTGTGTCTCCGTACCCTGAATTTTGGGCTACAGCTCCTCAGTTATGCTCTGATTTATGTATGTGTTGCATAATTGGACAATGCTGTGTCAGTGAGAGAGTAGCAAGTGGTGTTTTTTCACTACATACAAGGACCCACTTTGGATATGTTAATGACACATGGAAACTCTTCTCTTTTTTTGACAAAGGATTAATGGAAACTATTCTTGATTTGCAAATATAACCAAATTGAGTTCTCCAATTTGAACTGTTCCTTGTGGTAGACTGTTAGTTCACATGGCTAATGAACTGATGGTCGGGGATGGGATAAGGCAGGATATGTGCTGCAAAATTGAGTTCTCCAATTTGAAGTATTTCTTGTGGTAGACTGTTTTTCACATGGCTAATCAACTGATGGTCGGGGACGGGATATGGCAGAATGTGTGCTGCAAGTCTCCAGAGTTGAAGATCCTCAGGAATATTCATAAACATGTTCCTTGAAGTAAAAGGGATTTTTATTTTATTTTGAGGAAATCTAAACAACATAAGTTATGTTTGATTACTCGCACGTCCCTTTCTTAGTTCTGGTTTTGTAAGTAATGTTTCATTAACTTTCAGAATCTTTCTTCAGATACTTGCAGGAGGCTTTTAAGGTGCCCCTAGTTATACAACTGACTGACGATGAGAAGTTCTTGTGGAAGAACTTGACTATTCAGGAAAGTAAAAGGCTTGCCCGTGAAAATGCTAAAGACATTATAGCATGTGGTTTTGACATTGAAAGAACATTCATTTTCTCCGATTTTTCTTTTGTTGGAGGGTAAGACTACTCTTCGTAACTTTGATTTATATTTTAACTTTTGACTGCTATTTTTGGTCCATCGCTAAGCAAATGATACCATGCAATCTTGGCTTTGCTTGTTATATGCAAACAATAACCCCTCTGGCCTTGTCTTGCAGTGCTTTTTATGAAAACATGATGCAAGTTGCCAGATGTGTAACTATGAATAAGGTGAGAGCTGTTTAATTAAGAAAAATGTTCAAACACTACAGATTTTACATTTAAGCATCATTGGTTGGCTAATATGTTTTACTCTTGAACAATAGGCTATAGGAATATTTGGGTTCAATCTCGAGGATCACATAGGAAAGGTTAGCTTTCCTCCAGTGCAGGCAGTCCCATCATTTCCTTCTTCATTTCCCCATCTCTTCGCTGGCAAGGACCAACTGCGGTGCCTTATCCCATGTGCAGTAGATCAGGTACAAACATCTTTGGTATAATGATCTTTACTAGCATAAGTGGATGTATATCAACTTGCTAGCATACTTGTAATATTTCTGTTAGCGTAATTTTCTGAACTATTGCCTTTTAAGTTCCTAGTTATTCCCATCCTAAATTTGAACTGAGCCCCACTTATGCAAAGTAGGGGTAAATTTGACAATTTGAATTGGTGCCTTTATCATTTGTTATTTGTAGCACTAGATTTGATCGTGCCCTCCAATATGCAAATTAAGAGTAAATCATTCTTCCCGCAATTATCAATAAAATGTATCTTAGTGTTTTAATTGAAAGATGCCGAGAATGTGGCATATGTTTCTCTCTTTTGTTTTAAAGTTTGACCCATACCAATACATTTTGAATCTTTGTGTGTCTTTCCCTTCAAATTTTTAGAGTAGAGTTTTATTTTCTTTTCTGCAGGATCCCTATTTTAGGATGACTCGTGATGTTGCTCCTAGAATTGGTTATCAGAAACCGTCACTGATTGAATCTAGATTTTTCCCTGCTCTTCAGGTTTGTTGACCTTGACTGTTTCTAGTTAATTTAAAGTTTTATAACTTGCTTGTGATTTCTTTACCTTTTTATTATTATATATAAACGGTTATGATTTCAAGGGCACTAATTTGTGTGTTCTTTTTCACAGGGAGAGAACACAAAAATGTCAGCCAGTGACGCAAATTCGGCGATATATGTGACAGATAGTGCTAAAGAAATAAAGACAAAGGTCTGCCCTGCTCTGAAGTTTCTTTTAGCTGGAAATTCTTTTTACCTGACTACCCATTTTAGTTTTCCCATTTAAGTTATGGTGAAAATGGTTATTAGACTGAACCAAGAATTAGCTGATCTCCTGCATCTATCTCTCTTATAATTTGTTTCCAATGTTCCAGGTGAATAAATATGCCTTCTCAGGTGGCCAGGACTCAATAGAGCTCCATAGAAAACTTGGAGCTAACCTTGATGTAAGCCTTTTGCCGTTTATAATTGAGGATATTGTATTCCAAATAGTGTGCCTGCATTATGCACCTGACCTTTTGCTTTGAACTCAAAAGTTAGATTTTTAATATGAATAAATATATCACTGGAAGCTTCCAGTTCTAAAATTCATATAGCTCTAAATGTCTTCTGTTTCTTGAAGTCTTTCATGTCATACTTCAGTGCTAACATGCTGAAGGTTGTGATATATTTCTTCTTGGACTCCTTTCTTCTTAATATAATGATACGTAGCTCTCCTGTGTGTTCGTGAAAAAAAAAATCCATTCCCATAATCTGCTTGATATTCTGGTTAATTACCATACTCTTCTTAAGTAACACAAAACTAGTTTGTGAATGACTGGATTTTTGTTGCAATGAAGGTAGATGTCCCAATCAAATACCTCAACTTCTTCCTTGAAGATGATGATGAGCTTGCGCACATAAAGAAGGTATTATTACAGATTTATGCTTCATAGACATAATTCATCATTGTGAAAATTCTTAAGTTGTGCTTACATTTTCAAACACAAACACCAGGAGTACAAGGAGGGAAGGATGTTGACAGGTGAAGTGAAGCAACGGCTCATTGCAGTTCTATCTGAGATTGTTGCTAGACATCAAAGAGCTAGATCTCAAGTGACCGAAGAGGTACATGATTCGATCTGCTGTCTTGCATATTTGGTTTCTTTTTTATCGATGTAGGAGAGCTGTGCCATTTTTCATTACCAAATGTATGACCCTGCATGATTGGTTTCTTGCACCTTGTTTCCAAGTGAGATTAACAAACAATCTGTTTATCTTGCACGCACACATACACATGCATGGCATTGCTTGCACATAGATATGCAATTCTCACTTATACCCAGACTGAATGGAACTATAATGGGCCTCATATGAGTTTATGAATTTCCTGCAACGCTTTAACGATTCTGTTTTGTGCAGATGGTTGATGCATTCATGGCAGTGAGGCCACTTCCGAATATGTTTGGCTGAGCATCACGGCGACAACTCTTGGAACAAACATTTTTGTTATCAGGGAGAATTTAAGGGTCTTTAGAATTATGGTATCACCATAAGTATCTCCTGTGTTTTACTTCTGCATTTATGCGAACCTGGCCAAACATCCATGTGGTGGCTGTGGTAGATTTTGTAAACTCATACATGATATATGGTATCAATTCAGATATTTTTGTCATTGTAATAGCGAGTACCTCATTTTTAGGTATACAAACGGATGTTATTTTTGTTTAAGTCGGAAACCACTGTGTTTGAATTGAAGATGAAAACTTGAACGAAAATATAAAGAGAGATTAACTTGTTCCAACAATTGGCACTGAGGGTAAAAGAAGACATTGATCAACAGAAAAGGGCTTTTGATTCGTTGTAGTTAGTTTCTCGTTGTTTCTTTGCTGCTTGTATGTGAGCGAGTGGGCTTTGGCGCCCTGTCAGCACCATTTCGGGGCTGCGTCTAAGAGCTTAGGAGGTGTTCAGTTCATGGAACGAGGTAGTCTATTATCATTTTATTTGTTTGGTTTGTGAAATGAAATGAGTTGATGCAATATTATCTTATTTCTTACGAGCTAATAATTAGTGCTAGTACGAGAGTGAAGTTATTCCACCAAATTTAAGGGATAGTGCTAATAATGTATCATCACATTTATAATGGATTGATTCGTCAAACCAAACACTCCATTAGTGTTTTGGCTCCTATCTCTATTTTTAAATTCCTCCTATCTCTATTTTAAACTCCTCTCTCTTAATTCTAAAGCAGAGCTCCTGCCACTTTAAAAGAACTCTTTTCCCCTCCTAAAATGACACGATGGTCTATTTCTGGCATTCATTCGTGAACCAGCATGTGTATGCCGTCGCTTTCTCATTTGTAATTCATGTTGAGGATTTTAAGGAAAAGAAAATCGGCTCTGGTGATCATGATCGATGCCAACATCATCAGATAAGAAATTGTTCTAACACAGGAAATGCGGGAACATGTGACATTCATTTACTTTCTATAAGATGCTTTTCACAGTTGACAGTTTGCTTAGATCCCTGTATATGCTTCCGAACTAGTATCATCCAGAATTCATATATGATGTTCCTTTCAAAATTTTGTGAAAGACATGAAATTTAAAAGAATACCAACTCTTTGGAAGTGTATTCTCTTCAACACTCCTACTTGAGTTCACCCGTTCCATCTCCAGAAGCCCCTGCTGCGGTGCGTCTGGTTGCCACTCGAAGCTTCCTCTTCCGATACAGTGCTGTCCAGTTCACTGCGAAGTGATTCAAATTCCTTTTCTAGGGTACCCATATTCTGTAGTCGTTGTTGAATCTCTGAAATTTCATTCTGTCCATTGGGAGTGATGTTATTTTTATTTCAATATCGAGTACTAGCAAATGAAAAGCGACATGAACAAATTGAATCATTCAAATTAAAGGGGGGGGATGGGGTGCTAACTGATAACCTGTACTCACCACAATGTATTGCACAAGTCACTTGGTTAATTTGTTTCAATTAGCCAAATGTTTCCATTTTTATTAAAAAAGAGACAGAGACAGTTCAAAATCAAGTACCAGCAAATGAAAGGAACACAAATAAACTGCACCATCCATAGTTTTTTAATAAGTACCATTCAGAGTTAAAGGGGTGCTAACTGATAACCAGTACAAACCACAATGTATTGTACAAGTTACTTCACTAATTTGTTTGAATTAGACAAATTTAGTTTTTGTAGAAAACCATAGCGGCATAATGGTTACCATGTTTTTAGAATGGTATACTGGTAATATAAGCAAGGTGGCAAAGACCACAACTCAATCATTACCAGTGAAAAACGAGTTTGTTTATTAGAGATTCTGCTGTTATTGGACTTGGTCTCAAATTTAACCTATCCCTGCTCGAACATGTTTCCTTTTCTAAATTTCTACTCCCTCCATTCAATTCCAAATTGTAAGCTGTTTTGGCTTTTCTAGATACAACATAGTTTGTATCTAGGTGCATAACAAAAAATTATGTACCTAGAAAAGCCAAAAACGACTTACAATTTGGGAACAGAGGGAGTATAAAACAACGTTGTTCAGGGAAAAGATATATTCTAAAAGGAAACCTAAGTTCACTAAAACCATTCATAGCTTGGCATAAGGTATTGAGATGATACATAATCAAAGTGCCAGAGCATGAGCTCAGATCCTTCCAAGTTATTGCCTACCTCGAGTTTGGAAGCCCTGGTTTGTTCAATAGAAAGTTGATCTCGAACTAAGTGGAGTTCCTGCATAAAAGAGAGCCAAGCAAAGAAATGGAAGTTGATCACTGAGCTGAAAAGCGTGTTTCTTCCTCATAAAGTGACGGTTGCCTGATGTATCGTGAGTTGCAATTCTCTTTTATGTGTATATGTTCTTTTTTCATGATTTGACTTTCTAAGAGCTCGATTCAAGTATAGTATTTGACACACTACACAGCAGTAACAAACTAACAATCTATAACTTCATTGAGGTACATTGATTAAAAAAAGATTTTCTATCGTGTTCAACCTTATGTGACTTAAATGGGCAATCACAAGATATTTCTACAGAGGTCATGGACAAAGAGATCAACATGTAAGGACAGCATCACTTAGACACTAGTAGTAGCACTGTAAGTAAATATTATTGGCATTCTCTGCAGTTCTGCACAATTTGGTTAGTGAGATATAGCTTGCCTCAGTAAGTTCTGCATTTCTGTTTTCCACATCAGCTAGTTCCTGCTTCAGGCGGAGACTCTGCAAGTGCTCTTGATTAAGTCTGTCTTCTACTTGGTTTTGTTCATCCGTAGCTACTTGTCCCAAGGTTTTGCTGTTATCTGCCCTATTGCCAGGCTGATAGTGAAAAAAGTTGCATATGTTTTAATGAACAGACCAGAGGAACCATCCAGCATTTGTGTTTGTGCACAAAATTATTGAGTGAAAAAGAACAGAAACTGTGTTTATGCATCCAAACATTACATTACCTTTACATCTTTAAGTTCCTCAATTTCAAATATGACTTTCCTGCTAGAATTTTCTGCTACAGATATGGTGGCAAAACCATTTGACTCTGCTTCATCTATTTGTTGAGACGGGACACTTGGTTTGAGACTTGCCTTGAGAGCATAAGCCTAAACAAAAAGAATTGCTCAGCTGAATATAAGGGCATGTGAAAAACACTAGAGTGCTCATAGAGAAGCATGCCTGATTACTATAACGCCCACTATATCCTCCAAATGACACCAGAAAATTCTCTCCATTAATTGTGTGCGTTACTAAACTTGAGCCCTGTCATAAATATGCCTCTGAATATCATTAACAGGCTAACAGCAAGAGTACATAACAAATTAGTACAATCGATGAATAATTATGAGTATATAAGTTTATAAAAAAGGCAGTTTATTAGACCAGACGAGCTTCACCATTTGAGATAATTAAATCCATAAATTGTGGCCTTGATTGAGTTGGAATTTGAACATTAAACCAGAAGTAAATTTTTTCCTCAGTTGAAAATACAAAAATTTTCGAGTGAATAGAGTACGCAGAATATCAATGAGCTCACCTCACTTGTAGGGGGTGCACGGGCCTCAAGATCAGTGAGAACTGACCATTCATAAGTACACATGTTGAGTACAAGAGTATCTGAGACACCTGCAGTGGATCGGGCACACGTAAGCAGGAATCATTTTTGTGATACTTTTTAAAAAGTGAAATGATATAACTCAAACTCAAAGACCAGCCCCAAGAAAAGAAAATGATTGACACGACAAAGATAGATAAGTAGCAGTTATATTTATCAGGACATTCCTGATGTATACACCATAGAAAATTGGTTTTGAGTTATAACTCATAAATCGTGGTGTAATAAAATTGTCAGATATCTCAACCTTACCTTTCCTACTATTTCCACCCCCAGTAATAAACCAATATTCTCCAATAGTTACACCTGCATGCCCTGCTCTTGGTTCTGGAGTAATACCTTGCTGCTTTGGTCTTGACCATTCCATCTGTAACGACCAAGTGATTCATTTGGACTCCCAAAAGAATTACATACCAGCTTTAGAGAAAAGAATACTCACTGTCTGAGTGTCAAGGAGGTGTAGGTCACTGAAACATGTAGAATGCGATCCCCCGCCAAATATCAGAAGATACCGCTCTGCAAAGCAAGCAGCAGCGTGCTCTGACCTTGGAGAAGGGGGAGTGCCTCTGGAGAGCAACAGCATGATTTGAAAACAGTCAGATATTAATCCTGCCCCTCAAAGCAGAGCAAGAACAATACAAGTTTCATTCCATGTCCTAGACCAAATGTATTACCAGCTGCAACTGCAAGCGAATTACGAAGTAGCATAATCACATCACTTCAAGTTTGGGTTCTCCACAATTATATAAGAAACCAGTTCAACATAAAGAGGAAGGCTAAGAATTCTATCCAATAGGGACCGTTGCATAAAAACACATCCAGATTTACAGGTTTAGCTAAACCATTTCTAATGAAGACATGAAGTTAACCAATAAATTTACATCATAGAACTTACGTGGTCTCAAATTCATCCCAAGTCATGGTCTCAAGATCGAGAATGTGCAGATCATTCAGAAGAGATCTCCCATGACCTTCACTGCCAAACACAACTAGAGTGTCACCAACAAGAGTCACTGACTGATCACCACGTGAGCTCTAAAGGAAATAGGAAAACAACATCACAGATTTGGGAAGAAACAAAGAAAAACAAAGCTGGAGATAAAACACAGACAAACACAATCATACCGGTGACCTTCCATAAGTACGCAAGGTAGACCAAGTGCAGGTTTGTGGATCAAACTCCTTGACTGTCATAAATGCGCATAAGAAATAAGAACTAAGACGCTGAGAAATGAATAGGAAAAGATGAGTGAAATATTAGCCTAACCACTGAGACTTTCTGCAGGTTCTCTAGTATGTCCTGCAAGACATAGGATCTTATTTCCCCATTGAATCTGGAAGATATTAAAGCCAGATGC